CGCTCAACCGACTGCGCCACCCAGGCGCCCCAAAAATAAATAAAATTTAAAAAATTAAAAAAAAAAAGAACAAATACATCTTGGAAAGGTTAAGTTTATATTACCTTTCAATTAAGCCTCAGGGAAGAGAGGAAAGGAGAAAGAAAAGAAGGAGAGAAGGGAGAAAGAAGAAGACAATAGAGGATGAGGGAATCATGTCTTAAGTGAGGTAGGGTAGAAAATCAGCTAGAGAGTCTTAGGCCTAAGTAAATAAAATGAAAACAAAAACCTTCACTGGAGATACTGGAGATCACATAAGGACCAGGTAATCAAAAGCTACACATGTTACACCAGTGCCACAGACAGATACTAGATTAAACAACTTTAGGACAAATCAAAGTAATAATATGGGTGATAAAGTTATCAATAAGTCAGAATTGGTACATGAAATGCATTAAACAAAATTTACTCAAAGGTTTAAAAAGCTCCATTTCAAATAGTTTACTAAAGAGTCTCTTCACTTCAGTGTTAAAGGCTTTTACCAGGTTTCCAATGAAGGTCTCCCAAGGACTACATTTGGATGCTTACACTATTCTATTTTTTAATTTTGTTAAGTTTATTTATTTTGAGAGAGAGTACAAGTGGGGGAAAAAGAGAGAGAGAGAGAAAGAAAGAGAATCCCAAGCAGGCTCTGAGCAGTGCAGAGCCCAATGCGGGGCTCGAACTCACAAACCCTGAGATCATGACCTGAGCCGAGATCAAGAGTTGGACACTTAACCGACTGAGCCACCGAGATGTCCCTAGGTGTTTACCAGTATTTTAAAATGTGATCCAAAATACAGTCTTGATGCTCTAATTTAAAGTACAATGTAAGTTTTTAATTTTAGAATCCTCAGAGCTGTCATTTCTTGGTGTTTTTGTCATGTTTAATCTAGCCATAAATCTTTCCCACAAAGCAGTTTTGGACTAGACCACTGAACTTTGCTCCAGTTTTATCCATCAATATTAAAGCCATCACTTACTATAAATGCATCAAATACTCAGTACTGAGGTTACAAAATTGAACAAAACAGAATCCCTGCCTTTGAGGCAGTTGTAGTCATTTGGCAGAAAGAGACATGAACAGGTAATTACAATACTACCTGATTAAGTTTTACAATAGGAGATACGAACAGAGCATTGTGCAAAGTGGTAAAAGCCACTAAGTCAGCCTGGAGGACTATGCTAAGCCTGTTCAAGAGGATTTGACATTTAAATTCATCTACAATGAGGCAGTTAGGTTAGTCAATCTATAAAGCCCCTTCTATTTAAAAAAAAAGGACCAAGGGGTGCCTGGGTGGTTCAGTTGGTAAAGCATCAGACTTCAGCTCCGGTCATGATCTCATGGTTCATGAGTTCTAGTCCTGCATCGAGCTCTGTGCTGACAGCTCAGAGCCTGGAGCCTGCTTCGGATTCTGTCTCCCTCTCTCTGCTCCCCACCCCCACTCATGCTCTGTCTCTCTTTCTCTCTGTCAAATATAAATAAAAACATTTTTAAAAATTTACAAAAAAAAAAAGGACAAAAAGTTGAAGGTCATGGAAATCTTATTTGTCAGAAATGGCTGATGCAGATTATTCCAGTTTGTTGTTATTAATCTAGTCTCTGTATCAAAAACAATATTTTGCTCATACAATCTCATCTTCTCTCCCAAACAATTCCTCGTCCTGCTTTCTTTTTCTTGGTAAATAGTAATACTTCCATAGTCAACAAACCACCAATTTCTACTGATTCTACTCCATACAGTCTCTTTACTCTGGCTACTTCTATCTCCTACATTGGAAGCTTCCAACAGCTTCCAAAAGAGTTTTCTTGTCTGAGATCCCTTCTTCCAATCAACCAGTTCTTCACACTATGGCCAAAGTGATTTTCCAAAACACAAATCTGATCACATGACAACTCACCTTAAAATCATCCAACTGCTCCCTACTGCTCTCAGAAGACACCCAAACTCTTTAGCATAGGTGTCAGTAACTAGCCTGGCTTGCCTCTTGCTATAATCTTTTATACAGTACTCATACTGAACCTCTTATAGTTTCTTCAACACAAAGTACTCACTCACCATCGTCTCTAGAGCCTTCTAAGACTCCCTCAAAAGAAAATCAGATGACTTTCCAAAGTGATTTTTCAGTATGCTCTACTCCATTACTATACTTACCACACTATACAGTATTTTAATTACCTGTTTCCCTCAGAAAGCTGTAAGTTCTTTAAAGACAAAAACTATCTCACACATTCTTATATTTTCTATCTAAAGCATTATGCCTGCCTGGCACTGACATATAGTTCATGCTTGATAAAGATTGCTGAATGCATGAATAAATGAATAAACAAACTGCAAAAAAAGAGAAATTCAATGGCCTACAATTTGTCATAATATTTGTTAGCTACACTACAGAAACCTAATCCTATAGCATGACCATATTTAAGCCATAGCCTATTACAATTAACCTGTTTTTAGAAACAGAAAGAAAGAAGGCTACACCATAAACTCAAAATTCAAATGAGCTTAAATATTTACTGAGGTCCTCCAGTTTAGATGGTATAAATTTACTACTTAAGGTCATTTTTTTTGGAAAGAATACATACATATCAGATTCATGATATGCTATACAGTTTAAAATTATAACTACATATGTACTATTACATTATTTTCACAGATAAAACACTGAGTTTGCTTTTTAACAAAAATGAAAGCTGCGCTCATCACTGACTCACCGGTTCTTTTCCAGCTCATTGTGTGTAGACCTAAAAGGAAAACAAAAAAGACCATTAGCCATTTGTTGCTAAGGTTATGGAAAGGGGGATTAGTTACTGCTGTACCACACCCAGAGAATTTCTTTAACAATGCAAAATATAGTCAGACTTCTACAATCACACTCATCAAGAAGAAATAGCCTACGTTCGTTAGAATTATTCATTCAGATATAGTGTCTTCAGTTAACAACTAAATATTCTGAAACTGGTGTTTCACTGTTACTTTTTTTTAATGTTCATTTATTTTTGAGAGAGGAGAGAGAGTGTGAGCAGGGAAGGAGCAGAGAGAGAGGGATACAGAGACTCCAAAGTGGGCTATGCACTGACAGCAGTGAGCCCCATGTGGGGCTCAAATTCTAGAACATGAGATTATGACCTCAGCCTAAATCAAATGCTTAACTGACTGAGCTACCCAGGCACCCCTCACTGTTATCTTAATAAAATTAATGCTAGCACATGTTTTCTTGCCTACCCCTATCCTACATTTTGTTGATTTGTAGATTAAAAAAAAATTTTTTTTAAGTTTATTTATTTGAGACAGAGAGAATGTGCATGTGCATGAGTCAGGGGGAGGGGCAGAAAGAGGGGGGTAAAGAGAGAATCCCAAGCAGACTCAAGGCTGACAGCACAGCTGACACAGGGTCCTCGAACCCTGAGATGATGACCTGAGCCAAAATCAAGAGACAGACACTTAACTAAGCCACCTAGGAGCCCTGATCTGTAGATTTTTAATTCACATATAATCCATTTTTGTTTAAAAAGAAAAATGTATTTCTATGTCCTCTTCCATCTCCACTTAGTCACTCCTAAACACAGAGAGAAAAAATGTTTTGGCTAGCACAGAAGCTGAATAAGGTTTGCCTTACTGCTAAGTGATTTTATTTTTTCAAGAGTTTATTCATTTTTGAGGGAGTGGGGAGGGGCAGAGAGAGGGGGACAGAGGATGTGAAGCAGGCTCTGGGCAGACAGCAGTGAGTATGATGAGGGGCTTGAACTCACAAACCCTGAGATCATGACCTGAGCCAAAGTAAGATGCTTAACCAGCTGAGCCACTAGGTGCCCCAAGAAACACACTTTTAAAAGACTGGGAGGATATACCCCAAAATGCTAACAATGGTTGTTTTCTTTTTGGGCCTTTTTTTTCATTTTGCTTACCAATATTTGTTATAATACTTACCATCTACTGAACAAGTACAGTGTCTGCTAAACAGTGTGCTAAGCAGTCCATATATTATTTCATTTTCTCCCCCAAATACCCTTGTTTTATAAACAAGAATACTGAACCTCAGGTCAAGAGACACGCTCTTGTCCCAAGAGTATAAGTAGTAACCAGGATTTAAGCCCAGGTCTTTCTTATCCCAAAACTCAAGTTCTTAACTACCTGGAAAGAGAGGTTAAGGGCCAGACTCTAGGCCAGATCTCCTGGGTTCAAGTACTGTTTGGTTTAGTTAAAGTCTTCATTTCTCTGTGCTCAGTTTCCTCATCTATGAAATAGGAAAAGTAACAGTACTTGCCTCATGTGATTGTTAGGAGGAATAAATAGTTTACACTGAATAGCGAAATATAACAAACTCTAAAGTTAGCTATTATTAGAATTATGTTATATTAGTTCTCTTGAATGAATATATATTACTTTTACAATAATTTAACATTAGCAATAACAAGAATTTTATAAAGTAGAGTTCAAGTTCCTGTCACAGAAACTAATACTTTAATCATTTAATATATTCTGGTTAATGTCAACTGTTTTCAGAATATTACTGATTACCTTAATCTGATTTGTCATTCCAATGGATATTTAACAATTACATTTCTAAACTTTAGGGGCATCTGGCTAGCTCAGTCGGTTAAGCGTCCAACTCTTGATTTCAGCTTGGGTCGTGATCTCATGGTTCATGGGTTCAAGCTCCACATCAGGCTCTGCGCTGACAGGATAGCACGGAGCCTGCTTGGGATTCTCTGTCTTCCTCTCCCTCTGTTCCTCCCCTGCTCATGCTGTCTCTCAAAAATGAATAAATGTTAAAAAATTTTTTAACTAAATAATAAAACAAATAAACAATAGGAGTGTTGTCGTCAATCTCAATTTGTAGAAATTTTACTCACTGTCTTAGTTCAAGAGCCAAAGGCTTTTTTGAGTTACTGTCTCCTGTCCACCCTCTGTTTTCTTAGCAGTATCACAAGGTCCAAGTGACACAGGATAAAAAAGACTAATGTTCATTTTCAAAAGATTATATTAATAAAAGGACTTCTCCTTCAAAAGAGGTTAAAAAAAAAATCTTAAGATGCTTCAAGAGTTCAGTCAAATTAACAGCAAGGATACGTACAATTCAGATGGAAGAAATTATAAAAACATAGAACCTTTCGTTTAACAGACTTAAGAGTTCAAAACCCAACAAGTAAATTACAGCCAAATCTCTATCACTATAATAAGTATTTACAAAAAGTTTTAAGTTCTTTTTTGTCAAAGTGAATCAGTAAGTCAAAAGAGGAATAAGACATATTTTAGAGAGATTTAAAACAAAAAATTTGTTCAAAATTTGAATGGGTAATCAATAATGAAATTCCCCACCCCCTTGTAGTAAGTTTTGGTTTAACTGCCTTTATCTGAGAAGAAAACCTAGAACAAGTAAAATAAAAACAATGAAATAGTAAAGTAAATAATAGGGGCGCCTGGGTGGCGCAGTCGGTTAAGCGTCCGACTTCAGCCAGGTCACGATCTCACGGTCCGTAAGTTCGAGCCCCGCGTCAGGCTCTGGGCTGATGGCTCAGAGCCTGGAGCCTGTTTCCGATTCTGTGTCTCCCTCTCTCTGCCCCTCCCCCGTTCATGCTCTGTCTCTCTCTGTCCCAAAAAATAAATAAACGTTGAAAAAAAAAAAAAAATTAAAAAAAAAAAAGTAAAGTAAATAATAAATGGAAACAACCTATTTAGACAGAAGTAGATTACTTACCATAAACTTAATCTAAACAGTCTAGAGATCCCACATATGGCCATAAATGCAAAATAATATATACCCAAAGATAACCAATTGTTGAATTCCAATATTGTATTGAACCTATTATCAAAGCTAGCACCAAAAGAACATAATCTGACCCACTGCTGTGAACAAAATTAAAACAGCAGGTTCTTCCCACCTCTCTCAGACTTTTATTTGTCTTGTTTCTAAAAAAAATATAAAATGACAGCTAAGAATATGAACTTTTTCATCAAACCAAGAAATGCACATCATACTAGTTATACCCCTAGTAGCATTTAACAATATTTCCAAATATCAAGAAACAAAAATGATTGTGTGTGTACTAATCTTTACCATATTGTCATGTTCTTACACTTTTTAAAAAAATCTATCAGTAGTACTTCTGTTTTCACGGCTTTTTTGCCTGTAATATCAAGTAAACAAATAATGTGTATCTTTAAGACTGTCTTAGACTACAGGGAATCAAAGACCGTCTCTGGTAAATTTAAGACATGTATACTAATAATTATAACTCAAGGCGAAATAAATACATAAAGAAAGGTACAAAGTGTTATGGGAGTTTAAAGTAGGCAGATTTGAGGCGCCTGGGTGGCTCTGTCGGTTAAACATCTGATTCTTGATTTTGGCTCAGGTTATGATCTCATGATTGTGAGATGGAGTCCTGTGTCAGCCTGTGCTGGGCATGGAGTCTGCTTGAGATTCTCCCTCTCCTTCTGACCCTCCCCCACCAAAATAAACAAACACAAACAAACAAGGCAGAATTTACTTCCCAAATATGGCTATCAGGGTAAACTTCAGAAAAAGGTGGCATTTGGTATGGATCTTAAATGATGGACTATTTGCTACTAGTAGAGGCTGGACCTGATAGGGAGAGGACATACCAAGTGGAAAGGAGCATAAGTAAACAAGCAGAGCTGTCCCACAACTATATGGCCAACTAATCTTCAACAAAGCAGGAAAGAATATCCAAGGAAAGAGTTTCTTCAAGAAATGGTGTTGGGAAAACTGGACAGCAACATGCAAAAGAATGAAACTAGACCACTGTTTTATACCACACACAAAAATAAATTCAAAATGGATTCAAAATTCAAAATAAATGTGAGATAGGAAACCATCATAATCCTAGAGGAAAACCTCTCCGGCATTGGCCGTAGCAACTTCTTACGTCTCCTGAGGCAAGGGAAACAAAAGCAAAAATAAACTATTGGGACTTCATCAAGATAAAAAGCTTCTGCAGAGCAAGGCAACAATCAATAAAACTAAAAGGCAACCTTCAGAATGGGAGAAGATATTTGTAAATGACATATCTGATAAAGCGTTAGTAACTTAAAATATATAAGGAACTTATAAAACTCAACACCCAAAAAACCCCCAAATAATCCAGTTAAAAATGGGCAGAAGACATAAATAAACATTTTTCCACACCTGATCTTAGCCAAAAGGCCAAGAAGCAATGAATAAACATTTTTTCCAAAAAAGACATACAGATGGCTAACACATACATGAAAAGATGCTCAACATCACTCATCATCAGGGAAATACAAATCAAAACTACAATGAGGTATCACCTCACACCTGTCAGAATGGCTAAAATTAACAACACAGGAAACAATAGATGTTGGCAAGGATGTGGAGAAAGAAAGAGGAACCCTCTTATACTGCTGATAGGAATGCAAACTGGTGCAGCCACTCTGGAAAACAGTATGGAGGTTTCTCAAAAAGTTAAAAATAGAACTATTCTATGATCCAGCAATTTATACTACTAGGTACTTACCCAAAGGATACAAAAATACTAATTTGAAGAGATACATGCACCCCGATGTTTATAGCAGCCTCACCAACAATAGCTAAAGTATGGAAAGAGTCCAAATGTCCATCCACTGATGAATGGATAAAGAAGTTGTCGTATGTAATATAATGGACCATTACTCAGCAATAAAAAAAGAATGAAATCTTGCCATTTGCAGTGACATGGATGGAGCTAGAGAGTATTACGCTAAGTGAAATAAGCCAGAG